GGGGGAAAATTCATTCGCATAACGATTATTTCGCATAACGATGAGCCCTCTTGCACGGATTAAAATCGTTAACCGGGGGTCCACTGTATGTTGACAGTTGTGTTGTAGCAGAAGGGAGTCAATATTTTCCATTAGGAAGTTGATAGGGTCTGCATGTTGCCACTGAGGTCTGTACATTGCACATGCTAGTACAGAGGTACTAGTGTTTATACAGAGCTTGAAGAACATCATTTCAAGATGTGTAGGGGTGGCAACATCTATGTGCTGGGCATGAACACTTTTAGAGAAGCACACAGCAACACCACCTCCTTGCCCTTGCCTGTCTCTTCTCATCCATGAGGTGTAGCCAGCAATTCTTGCAAAATTTTCTGGAGTCCTGCATCCAAAAATGTTTCAACAGCAGCTTTTCATGTCTGGACGTCGAGTGTTCACAAAGCTATGTGTGAGCTCTCCAACATTAGTAATGAAACCTCTAATGTTGGCCGACAGGATGCTGATAGACTGGCTCCTCATGATGAAGTGGTCAGCTTGAGGTGGTGGGTGTGTAGGGAATGTAAGGTGCCTGCCCTTGAGAGAGGTAGGGTACTGAGGCAGCTGCAGGGATGTAGGTCTGTGGTCTTGTATAAGGCCCAATCCCACCTCTCTCTCTCTCTCTCTTCTCTCTCTCTCTCCCTCTCTTTCCCCTCCTCTCTTCTCCTCTCTCTCTTCCTCTCTCTCTCCTTCCCCTCTCTCCCCCTCTCCTTCTCTCCTCTCTCTCTCTTCCTCTCTCTCCCCTTTTCCTTTTTCTCTCTCTTTTCCCCTCTTCTCTTCTCTCTCTCTCTCTCTCTCTCTCTTTTCTCTCTCTCTCTCCTCCCCTTCTCCTCTCTCTCTCTCTCTTTCTTCTCTCCTCTCTTTCTCTCTCTCTCCCCCTTTTTTTTTTTTTTTTTTTTTTTTTTTTTTTTTTTTTTTTTTTTTTTTTTTTTTTTTTTACACTGGGTTTGACAAGGTTAAGGATCCCTAGCTTTATTGACAACCTATTTACAGGTTTAAGATTTCTAACTTTATTGACAGGCTAAGAACTGTTACCTACATCTGCTCATTTGAAAGCATTTTTATTGTTATGAGACATACAAGTAAGGAACAGGATGAAGATGGAGCCACCTGTGGGCCAGCATTTTCATCTGATAACTGACTCTATCCGTTGACATCGTAATGCTGTACAAATGTGTTCCATACTTGAGTCATCCTGGGATAAATGATCTCAGATGAAGTGATGTTCTGGAGAAGAGTACAGCCAGAGTGAAGTTGCTGCTTTCTGCCCGTTTTGTGGTATAGAAGCTTGCTTCACACTGTCCTCAAAGTGGATCCAAGTGTGGTACTTTGACAATATTGGCTCTCTCCTTTTCTCTCTTCTCTTTCTCTTTGCTCTCTTTCTCTTTCCTCTCTTTCTCTTTCCTCTCTTTCTCTTTGCTCTCTTTCTCTTTGCTCTCTCTCTCTTTGCTCTCTCTCTCTCTGCTCTCTCTCTCTTTGCTCTCTCTCTTTGCTCTCTCTCTCTGCTCTCTCTCTCTCTTTGCACTCTCTCTTTTTTACACAGGGTTTGACAAGGTTAAGGATCCCTAGCTTTATTGACAAGCTATTTACAGGTTAAGGATTCCTAACTTTATTGGCAAGCTAAGAGCTGTTACCTACATCAGCTCATTTGAAAGCATTTTTATTGTTATTTGACATACAAGTAGGGAATAGGGTGAAGTTGGAGCCATCTGTGGGGCAGCATTTTCATGTGTTCAACTGACTTTATCTCATTGACATCATTATGCTGTACAAATGCGTTCCATACTCGAGTCATCCTGGGTATATATGTCTCTCTCTCTCTCTCTCTCTCTCTCTCTCTCTCTCTCTCTCTCTCCTCTCTCTCTCTCTCTCTCTCTCTCTCTCTCCTCTCTCTCTCTCTCTCTCTCTCTCTCTCTCTCTCTCTCTCCTCTTCTCTCCTCTCCTCTCCTCTCCTCTCCTCTCTCTCTCTCTCTCTCTCTCTCTCTCTCTCTCTCTCCCTCCTCTCTCTCTCTCTCTCTCTCTCCTCTCTCTCTCTCTCTCTCATATCACTAATTTGATCATGGTAATGCTTGACACATGTGCCCTGTGTGTTATAAAAACTGTATTATGGGTTCAAACCCCACCAGTTCTGTGGTTTGTTTGCCCTATTTGTCATCACTGAAGCACAAGAAAAACTGCATTTCCAACAGATCTTGAGTGCTGGCAGTCAAGACATTAAGGCCATACAGGACAAGCTGCTGGGAGTCCTGGAGAGCGACGTGGGCTACAGCATCGTCGACGTGGAAACAGAGTCGGCCGTGATGTCCTTCCGGGCTGGGTCCCTGCTGGGTGATCCCTCGGCCATGTTCAACCTGGCCCTCTGCTACCACCTTGGCCATGGTGTAAACCAGGATTTGAAAATGGTAATGTTATCTTGTTTTTTAACCTATTTGGTAATTCCAATTATTGTCATTAGTTTCAATTGCAAAGTGAAAAATCATGATATTTTGCTTTTTTTTTCTAGCACTTCTAGTAAAGAAGTCCATTGAAATTAAAATATTTTTGGTTTAACCCTTTCAGGGTTTCCTACATACTAGAATGGCTTATGCACCAGGGTTATTGACGTACTAGAACGCCTAAATTCTAGCGCCCTTAAATCTAGTGAGAGAAAGCTGGTAGGCCTACATATAAAAGAATGGGTCTATGTGGTCAGTGTGCACAATATAAAAAAAACCTGTGGCACACAGTGCATAATGAGAAAAAAAAACTCTGTGTTTTTGGTTTAAAACAGTGACTTTGCAGTGTATTTTTGTATGGTATTTATGGTTGTATTCTAGTTTTCCTACACGTCAACTGGTGAGTCTAATATTCTTTCACAAGTGCACTGATATTATTTATACCATTTCTACACAAATGCAGTACTCTGCAAAACAGTAAATCTTCTATTTTTTTGTGAGAATAAAAATTCAAAGTGCAAAGCAAAAGAAATGTAAGAGAGGCCTGGGGATGTGATTAATGAACAGAAAAAATATTATTTTAGTGCCAGGAATGTCTGTTTTGTTTATTCTGGACCCTATTTGGAAATTGGCATCTTCTGAAATTTGTGTGAAATTGGCAAAATTGCCAATTTCTGACCACTTTATTGGATAGTTGAAATCGGTAAATAGGTGGTTTCTTGTACTCATTCGATAGAAAAAATTGAGTTCTAGTGAAATAGTTATGATTTTTGTCGACTGGTACATTGGAATTGGCCGAAAATAGGGCTCAAAGTGGGCGAAATCGCTGATGCGTAAACATCGTCGAGACCGCTGACTTCACGAGAGCATAATTCCATAAGTTTTCCATCAAATTTCATACTTTTGATGTCATTATGATCGGGAAAAGATTATCTATCATTTCATAATAAAAAAATTTTTTTTTTTTTTTTCGAAAAATTTCCGACCCTGAGAACATGTTTAGGAGAGGGCCTGCCGCCCCTGAAAGGGTTAAAGATCTGACATTGTAGTTAAAGACAGTTATGTTATTGTTGGCTCTGAGAAGTGCCTTTGCTTGTTCTGCTGTGTAGTAATTACAGTTGCTGTTTGATTCATTTATGTCATTCAATAAGAGGTTGGTATCAGGATCAATGCTTGTAATCATAAGATTTATAGTGAATCTATAATTAGACTTAAGTATAAGACAAAGTAAATATTCTAAAGTTAAATAATAGCACCTGAATTATTTTAACAAATGTGAATATATGAACTAAGGCAGTTCTTTAAAGCTAAAATGAAGGAGATTATATAAAAGGGACTAAAAGAAGTAGGGTAAAACAAATAACGTGGTAATCAAATAAAGGAGCTAGGTAATATAATAGTAAAATAATGATAGTATTACACTTTAGCACCTGAATATAGATCCTTAATTATTCTAACAAATGTGAATACAGTGGACCCCGAGTTTCGTGATTAATCCGTTCCAGAGAGCCCGCCGAAGATCGAAATTCACGAAACTCGAAACCATTTTCCCCATAAGAAATAATGGAAATAAAATTAATCCGTTCCAGAAACCCAAAAATATTAAAGTAATTTTTTTTTTTTTCAAATTAAATAAAGATTTACATAATGAAAACAATCAGAAATCAAGTACATGCATTTAAAATAAATAATAATACATTACACTTACCTTTACTGAAGACTTATGCGTGGATGGAAGATGGGAGGAGGGGATAGGAGGAAGGTGTACACTATTTTTTGGAAGGAGAATCTCCTTCCAGTAGGACTTCAGGTATGAAGTCCATATTTGGGGTTACTTCCCTTCTTCTTTTAATGCCACTGGGACCAGCTTGAGAGTCACTGGACCCCTGTCGCACAAAATATCTGTCCAGAGAGGTCTGTTTCTGGCGTTTCTTTAAGATTTCCCAGAAGTGGGACTCAACACTGTCATTGTACATGTTGCCAATACGGCCTGCAACAGCTTTGTTAGGGTGAAGTTCATCCATAAATGTTTGAACTTCAGTCCACTTTGCACAAATGTCCTTAATCTTTGAAGAAGGCACCTTCCTCCATCTCTCTTCCTCCTCCTCTGCAGCAGTTTCCTGAGCTGTGATCTGTTGCTGTTGCAGATGAAGCTCTTGCAGCTCTTCAGTGGTTAGCTCTTCCCTGTGGTCCTCCACCAACTCTTCCACATCCTCACCACTCACCTCCAACCCCTGGGACATCCCCAATGCCACAATAGTTTCCACAATTGGCATAGGTTCCTTAGGGTTAGCCACAAACCCTTCAAAATCCCTCTCTTGTACAAAATCTGGCCACAAATTTCTCCAAGCAGAGTTCAAAGTCCTGGAAGCCACTCCCTCCCAAGACTTACCTATAAGGTTTATGCAATGGAGGATATTAAAGTGATCTTTCAAGAACTTTCTTAGGGTCAATTCTGTGTCTGAGGTCACTTCAAAGCACTTCTGAAATACTGCTTTGGTGTAGAGTTTTTTGAAGTTTGAAATGACCTGCTGGTCCATGGGCTGGAGGAGAGGAGTGGTATTATGAGGCAAGAACTTCACCGTGATGAAACTAAACTCCTCCACTATTTGCTCTTCCAAGTCTGGAGGATGAGCAGGAGCATTGTCCATTACCAGGAGGCACTTGAGTGGCAATTTATTTTCCAGGAGGTATTTCTTCACACTGGGACCAAACACTTCATTAAACCAGTCTAGGAAAATTCCCCTTGTGACCCATTCCTTACTGTTAGCCTTCCACATCACACACAAGTTACTCTTGGCGACACTGTATTTCTTGAACACTCTGAGATTTTCAGAGTGATACACCAGTAAAGGCTTCACTTTAAAATCCCCACTAGCATTACTACAAAACATGAGAGTAAGCCTGTCTTTCATAGGCTTGTGTCCTGGGAGTGCCACTTCCTCCTGCGTGATGTAGGTCCTCTTTGGCATTTTCTTCCAGAAGAGGCCTGTTTCGTCACAATTAAACACTTGCTGGGGTTTGAATTCTCCAGTGTCTATGCACTCCTTAAACTTCTGTACACACTTCTCGGCTGCTTTTTTTGTCAGAACTGGCAGCCTCACCATGCCTTATCACACTGTGAATGCCACTACGCTTCTTAAATCTCTCAAACCAACCTTTGCTGGCCTTAAAATCACAAGCATCATCACTTGTTGCAGGCATGTTCTTTACGAGATCGTCATGCAACTGCCTTGCCTTTTCACGTATTATCAACTGCGTAACACTATCTCCTGCTATCTGTTTTTCGGTAATCCACACTAACAATAACCTCTCCACTTCTTCAAGGATTTGTGATCTTTTTGTCAGCATATCCACCCCTTTTGCAACAACAGCACACTTATTTCCTTTCCCTTTGCCACGATCGAAGTGATGGTTGAATGGGGCTTGCCATACATCCTGGCAAGCTCTGTAACACGCACTCCACTCTCACATTTTTCAATGATTTCCTTCTTTAATTCGATCGTGTTCCTCACTTTCTTTACCAAAGGGCTTGCACTAGCTTTCTTTGGGCTCATGGTGACTTATTTAGCAGTTGTAATCACAAAAAACAATGGATTATTACGTATGAACCTGCGGGGTGATGGTCACGTGTTGGTAAACAGTGGCACACTGAGCGAGAATGGCGTGGGAGACTGGCTTTGTGTGCGCGGTGACGGGTGGACGGATACCGGACGGTTGCCGAAACACAAGTTTTTTCACGAAACTCGAGGCCAAATTTTTCCAAAAAAACTTGCCGAAGGTCGAATTTCATGAAAGTCAAGGCTGCCGAAACTCGAGGGTCCACTGCATATGAACTAAGGTAGTTACAGTGGAACCTCAAAAATCGAACTTAATTCGTTCCAGGAGCTAGTTCTAAATTCGAAAAGTCTGAAATTTGAAGCAATATTTCCCATAAAAAAAAATGGAAATACAGTTAATCCGTTCCAGAAACCCAAAAATATTCACACAAAAAATACATTTTATAGAGATTAACCCTTTGACTGTCGCGGTCGTATATATACGTCTTACGAGGTACCGTGTTCGACGTATATATACTCATAAATTCTAGCGGCTTCAAATCAAGCAGGAGAAAGCTGGTAGGCCCACATGTGAGAGAATGGGTCTCCGTGGTCAGTGTGCACCATATAAAAAAAATCCTGGAGCACGCAGTGCATATTGAGAAAAAAAAACTGAACGTTTTTTTTAATTAAAATGCCGACTTTGTGGTCTATTTTCATATAGTATTTATGGTTGTATTCTCGTTTTCTTGGTCTCATTTGATAGAATGGAAAACATATTATAGAAATAGAGGTGATTTTGATTGATTTTACTATAAAAAGAACCTGGAAATGGAGCTCAAAGTAGGGGAAATGTTTGATTTTTGCCAATGTTCAAAAGTAAACAAATGATGTCATTGTCCAATAAATGTCCAACTAGCCATTCTAATATGCAGTCATGAATGGGTTGATGTTATTTATACAATTATTACAGTATTGGAGTAGTCTGCATAATAGTAAGTCTTCTATTTTTTGTTTGAATAAAAATTCAAAATAGAAAGCAAGAGTAATATCAGAGGGGCCTGGAGACATGACTGATGAACAAAGAAAATGTTATTTTAGAGCCAGGAATGTCTGCATTGTTCATTCTGGACCTTATTTTGAAATTGTCATATTTTTTAATTTTCGTGAAATTGGCCAAATTGCAAATTTCTGACCACATTATTGGGTAGTTGAAATCGGTAAATGGGCAGTTTCTTGTACTCAATCGATAGAGAAAATGGAGTTCTAAAGAAATAGCTATGAGTTTGGTCGACTGGAACAAAAGAATTAGCCGAAAATAGGGCTCAAAGTGGACGAAATCGCTGATTTGTAAATATCGCCGAGGTCGCTAACTTCGTGAGAGCATAATTCCGTCAGTTTTCCATCAAATTTCGTTTTTTTGGTGTC